TTTCTTTATTAAAGAACCAATTTTTTATATAATTCAATGTTTATATCTTATTCAAAATGGACTGTGTCAGTTTTGTCTTGACTCAGATATTATTCAACCTTTTCAATTAATTAAACGCTTTTATTCTAAAACTACAAACGAACAAGAAATGTTAATATATTCTATTGGTAATGATGAACTTAAAGATTTGGTTTATTGGTATTGTTTACTTAATGAACCTCTTGATCGTCTTCATTATATTTATTCAAATTTTTGTTATTCTGATATCTTTGATTCTATTAAACCATCTTATAGAACTGACCTTATTAACGAATTAAAAGCAATGCATTCTATTATTCTTCCTATTTATTGTTCTTCTAATTCTGTAAAACAGTTACATTATATCTCTTCTAAACAATCCCATTTTAAAATGAACATTGATATTAAAGAAAAAATTAATAAAATTTTCCCTTCTTCCTCTAAAACATTTGTTTCAAGAACTCAATTTATGGAAAATGTGTTCCCTTTTATTTTTCATATCTTATTAAATTGTCAAATTAACTTTTCATCAAAAAATGATAAGTTGAGATTTAAACAACAATTTTTGGATCTTAAGGTTGATGGAAAATCTTGGAGATTGCTCATTCAAAGTAGTCCTTTTCAATCGACTGTTAATCAACTTACAGAAACTAGAAAAAAATTTATATTATCCTTTTTTGATTATTAATGTAATTGGAATAGAGATTTCTTGTTTTTGGATTTAATTTCTCTTTTTTATTAATAAATTTTAATCTCTGTAATTATTTTATTTTTAAAGTCCAGATGACAATCAAATTTCCATTTCTTTTTTTAAAAAAAAGAACATAAAATAAAAAAATCAAAAGATAAGAATATAGTATTTAAACCATTTTAATATAATATCTTCTCTTTCACAAAAAAAGAAGTAAAATAAATTCAAAAAAAGATATAGCTAAGTTCAATGAGCAAAGAATCATTAGAAAAAGCTATTAAAGTAAATTGTACTACTACGTTATTCTTTGCCCGTATGGGAAGTATTAAAAAAGAAGAATTGAAACAGTACTGCGAACAATTCGGTCCTGTGAAAGATATTTCAATGATGGTTGACACAGAAACACAAAGACCAAAAGGATGTGGATTTGTAAAGTTCATGACCCATGAGGATGCTAAACTGTGTGTTGAAGAGGCTCCTAAAAGAAACAAGAATGATCCACATAAAAGAAATTGGGTAATTGAATGGGCTAAGTCATCTCAAATCAAAGAAGGGGATCTTGACAAAATGACAATTTACATTTCAAATCTCAACCAACAAAATGATAGTGAAGATATGATCAGACAAAAATTTGGTGTTTATGGAAATATTGAGAAAGTTACTACTATTGAAAACTCTAAAAGGGAATGTTTGCCTTTGTTAAATATGAACAAATGGAAAGTGCAATTGAAGCAATTAATAAAGAAAATGGAAAAGAGTGGTGTGGTAATTTAATTGTAGTTGAATTCTCTGAAACTATCGAATCAAAAAGAAATAGAAGACAGAAAGCTACGTTAAAGAAACATTGTCAAAGCTCTACTCTTCTTCCTCATACATCTCAGAACCAGTCATACCTTCAAATTACATCTCCAAAACAAAAACACATCCCCTCAGAACCAGTTCATCGTACATCAAAGTCCTACACAAACTCTCTTTCTTCTCAACAACTTGATTTTTTATTTCCTGCTCCTACATCTGCACGTCATATCTCACAGTCATCGTCTCCAACAACTGAGATGTTTGTTTCTCACCACTACAATTTGTCTCATCAACTCAATCACGTTTCTCCATTTGATGCACTCACTCCAGACAATGATAAAGAAACAAGTGATTTGCCTATATTCAGAGAGTTAGTATCACCAGCCTCTGAAAAAAAGAAATAGTTTTTCAATTCCTCTTTATTTAATTATTGTGTTGTTCAATACTTTATCAATTCACTCTTTTTTATTTTTTGTTTTTATTTCAAATAAACATATTAATATTTTCATTTCATTTCAATTACAATGAACCGCTTTGGTGTGAAATTATCTGAACCACAAAGTGCATTTGATATTCCTTTATATTCATATGAACTTTGTTTACAATGAGAGTCTTGTTTGTTATAGAATTTCTTTAGATAAACATCACCA